CTATGTCATCGGTATGTTCTAAGTCAACAAATGAATCTTTCGATAGTTTAGGAGCCTCACTAACCATTGAGAGCAAGTCGATTGCGATCAGTCAGGCATATTTAGAAGAAATGATCATACCTTTTGTTTGGATAATATATGTACGGTTTGTCATTTTTGTGCCTTAACGTTACGCAAGTGTAGTCAGTCAGTCAGCTGCAACGTAGGACCAGGCACGTATATGCATCGGTCCAAGTTGCCATACCGCATTAGCACAACAAGATGAACACCGGATTCATAGAAGTAGTTAATTCAGTGGTGGTAATATATAGAAGAAAGTGTGTATAAGGAGATAGTACAGGAAGGTGGAATTAGTTCCTAGAAAGAAAGATTTGAAGTGATTTTAATCTCTTAGTTTAAAGGAAGACAAAGAGTGTATACACCGACGCCATTGTGATCGATTCTGAGCCATGTCACCAAGAGTCTCCAACCATTGGTTACGATAGTCACGCGGACCCCAACCAGGTAGTCTGCATCTACCAACATGGCTCAGACCAGAAGTTAGTGACTTCAAGCACTGATGCCACGTTTTGGTTTGGCCGCCCCTAACTTTCTTCCAATCATCCCTAACACCGGTTACCATTGCGCGTCGCGGTAATCGGTGTTCAGGCATACGCAGTATGTGGCCCAACCATCTCAGTCGATGAAGGTTCATAACCTCATCAACTGATTTACCATCATTTCCTAATACCCTGCGTCTAACCTCACTATTACTTATACGGTGATCCCAACAGATACCAGCAATATTTCTAAGGCACCTGTGGTCAAATACTAGTAACTTACGAATATCTTCTACTCTTAAAGGCCAGGTTTCGCAGCCGTATAGTAGAACGGAACGAACTGCCGCGCAGTATACTCGTCCCTTAATTGATAGACGGATATCTCGCCTACGCCATAGATGACGTAAGTTGGCAAAGGCCAAACGAGCTTTTCGAATCCGTGCTGAGATTTCGTCAGACACCAACCCATTAGGGCTGATCAGACTTCCAAGATAAGTGAAGTTGTCAACGCGTTCGACTACTTCACCCCCTATCCTTAGTTCAGGTGTTGACGCAGACCAGTCCTGAAGCAACAACTTGCATTTGGAGGGAGAGAAGCGCATCCCAAACATTCTGGCATTGTTGCTCAGTGCTACCAAAAGACTCTGAATTTCATCAGCGTCTTCACCGAACAGGACTATGTCATCTGCGTATTCTAAGTCAATAAGTGGACCTCCTGGTAGGAGATCAATACCTGAGAATTCAGTCGATGAGAGCGTTATTTCCATCAGTAGATCTGTGATGAAGTTGAACAAAAATGGAGAAAGTGGACAGCCTTGGCGGACGCCACTTGAGGTTGCGAAAGCAGATGACAGTTCGTCATAAGCTCTGACTCGACTAGTAGTGTTCGAGTAAAGAGCCTTCACAAGGTTTATGTACTTCTGACATACGCCTTTCAATGACAGACACTGCCACAGAACCTCTCGGTCAACAGAGTCAAACGCTGCTTTTAAATCAAGGACCACTATTGTCGGACGCCGATAAGTATGCCTGTGTTCTAGAACCTGACGAATGGTGAATATGTGGTCGATGCAGCCACGACCAGGTCTGAAGCCAGCCTGATTTTCACGTGTTTGCAGCTCACGAGTCTTAGTTAGGCGTCCGATAATTATCGAGGCTAGTATTTTAGATACTATATTGATCAAACTAATCCCTCTATGGTTGTCACAGGATGATTTTGACCCTTTCTTAAATATTGGGACGATAAGTGATTGTGACCAGTTAGATGGGATAACGTCTAACTCCCAGATTTTAGCTAAAATATTAGTCAACCTAATCGCTAAAACTAGACCACCATCCTTAAAGACCTCTGGGGCCAATCCGTCTGGACTAGATGCCCTTCCTCGTTTCAGATTACCTATAGCCTTTTGAACTTCAGCTAGAGTTGGAGGACCTACTTCAATGTTACATTCATACTGTCTGGGAATAGAGGGTAGTTGTAGAGTAGCTGAAGGCCAACTGAACTGCTCCTTAAAATGTTCCGCCCATCGTTCTAAACGTCTGGACTGGAAGCAGATAAGAACGTCGTCCTTTTCCGAGATAGTCTGACTTACACTTGATTTATTAGTTCCAGTTTCTTTTATTAGTCTGTAGAGTTGTCTTGTGTTCCCTATAGCCGCCGCCTTTTCCATCTCTTTTGCTTTCGTTGCCCACCACTGCTCACGATCATTCTTTAGACTTTTGCTTAATCTAGATCTGATTTCTTTACGCTCTTCATCGTGTTCAGAACCTGATGGGATGAGTTTACGAGAATCTATCAGTGCAATAGACCTTGAAGAAATCCATTGGTTCCTTGTAACCCTGTGGTTTAAATCACCAGTAGATGTCACTGCTGTTTTCACAGCTGCTCGTATGTCTTTCCAATCAACATCGGGGTCAGCCTCGTTTTCAGAACTACCTAAGTGTGACCTCAGTTGTTCCTGGAACCTACTTTTGGTTTTCTCATTACTCAATTCGGTTCTAATGAGTCTTTTTTTGCGTCCAGTGAGGCGCAAGCAGATGCGTGCTCGTACTAGGGCATGGTCGGAGTCCAAGCAGGTACTCCAGAATGAGCGACAATCTTCTATCGACCCTCTCCAACGATGACTGATGGCAATATGGTCTATTTGAGTCCATCGTTGGTTTGGTGCAGGGGGTCGCCATGTTAGACGATGTCTTTCCTTATGCTTAAAATTTGTGTTTGCTAAAAATAAACGATTGTCTGAGCACAGTTGCAGCATACGATCACCATTATTTGTTCTCTGTGCCGGAATACTAAAATACCCACCTAAATGTCTTTCTGTTTCGTTTAAGCTACCTACCTGGGCATTAAAGTCGCCTGCTACGAGTACTATGTCTGAACGTTTAGCTTTCTGAAGTTCAGAGAGTTTTCTGTAAAATTCATCTTTCACTTAATCCGAGCTGCAGTCAGTGGGAGCGTAGGCAGAAACGACGAAAAGGCAACGACGTGTGTCCCTATCCTTCCGAGTTCATACGGAGCCGTTTAGCCGAACAGCGCATAGACGACTATTAACGGGGATCCACTCTAATAGCGCTTGTTCCGCCCTCATGCTTAGTGCTATGCCTACACCTGCCAGTCCACGAGAACTAGACATCGGGTCACCAGATACACGGAGGGTATCTCGTCGGCACTCCGTTTTGCCGAGGTGAGGTCAAGTGAATGACCACACTAGGATCCAGTATGCGTGTTTCGGAGACACAGCATACATCAATCGTACGAGATTCTAAGGTTTTAGCCAAGGAAGCCTGCTGACCGATTTGGCATAGTGTGCGTACGTTGAAGGCTCCAATGTGTAGTTTGGAGCGGGGTTTCAGTAGACCTGGGACAGTGTTTTGCGCACTAGAATCGTTGGCTGTGGTGACACTTGAGGAGGAAGCTAAAAGAGGGAGTTTAGATTTGAAAGTCGATGTAAGAGGAATAATAGGAATTGAAGAGGTAGGTTGATTATGAATACAGTGGTCTTGAGTGCCGTTAGAGGTATGAGGGCGGTTATCACTTCCCGGTTGCCCACACCGTGGAAGTGTAGAAGATTGTATGAAGTAGTGGTAGTCTATGGGATACCCAAAACACCTGTATTCGTACATAAACCAATGAACTAAGAGAGGCGGCATCCCAGCATTGTGTGACGGTACTGCAATGCATGTTACTTATGTTGATAGGTATGAACAAGGAACTTATTTACGTGGATAAGAGATTTCCTAGTTGGGGACCAACTCCAGGTGTTTTAACTGAGAGACCGTACTTAGTGGATAGTCCTGGGATAGTTTCGGTGCGTATTATTCCTACAATATGTAAATAACCTTGTCCTATCATCGGATTTGTTATATGCTGGCGGTATCAAGACATGGGGGCGAGAAAATGAAAGATTAGAGCCTCAAAATGACCTGCAGCCATCTCATTACTCTAAAATTTGTCAATAAGGGCATCCAAGTGTAATATGATGCATATTGGTCATCTCAAAACAGACACTTACACGGCAAGTGACATTGAGCAACCTGTTCCTCCAACACAATGACCTGAGGGTCATCGTTGGTTGAAACTTGAAAACCACCTTGCTATCCAATAGCTGCCTACGGTTTCAGAACCCTCTGGGCACAACGTGGAGCCCGTGGCCATCTCGATGTTTAGGCCATTACGACTTTACCGTGTTTATTCGACCTAAACCCAATTGCTGCATACAAGCAGCCAACCCGTCTGAAAGAAGATAATGAACTGATAATAAAGATTCAGAGTGCAAAACTGCCGTATAACGAGACTAGATAAACAGGAGCAGAGGTAACTTGACCACATATCTTAATGATGAACCATCGAATAACATGCCGAAATCCTTGTCTCTCAAGACGGAATTTGTGAGAACATTCCGAAAAAAGCTCACCCATCTGGCTAAATTGTTTTGGCATTATAACGGTCAGTTCATGACGAAAACCCTAAATCTAGTTCCTAACCTTAAGCATCAACTATAAATCATAATACTAGTTCCTCGCCCTGGTTTATAAACCTTATTTGGTCCTAGTTAGTAGGTGGGTATCCTCAAGAGTTTTTAAAAGGTCGTCCACAAATTATACTCACCCAAATTACTTGTCAAGTGCCTAACAACTTTCCCATCGAGTCATCAACAGATAAGCTCATTGACTCACTCAAAAGATGGACCGACTGAGACCAACGCCACTTGGTCTAAAACAGGTCATCCACTCTTCTATACAGTCAAGTCTGAAACTAGTCAGTGACTGAGGAATGTTTCGGCATAAAGCGTACCTAATGATCTGGAAAAACCCCACTAATCTTAGGAGTAGTTACAACGCTTAGTCCGTCAGTCTTCATACTAAAACTATGTGCTTATCATAGATAAGCATATTTAGCGTCATTACAGCTATCTATGCAAAAAGAGGGTGATCTGACCAGCAATTTATTACATGAACATATTATTTAAGAGGGATAAACCTGGAACTGTGAGTAGCACCAACACCAGGTCTGCCGTGCTTGACAGGCTTATAGGTTATTGAAAATTCTCCGAGGTAGTGGCCAAGCATTTCAGGTCTGATCTCAACAGTGTTAAATGACTTTCCGTTATAAACACCAACGACCGACCCAATCATCTCGGGAAGAATAATCATATCTCTAATATGTGTTTTGACAGCCTGAAGACATTATATATTTAATAGGTACTTACAGCCGGCTTTTCGCCAAAAGGACATTCTTTCTTACTCTTCCTAAGCTTTTTTAGGAGCGTCAAGTGTTTTTTATGGAGTTTTCTGTTAATTCTTCTGCGTATCCGGGCAGGCATCAGCTGGGCTATTTGATCTCTAATAAAATTTTCGGTTAGATTAAAAACTACTCACAAGTTCATATCCAGAAGTTGGTCTAAATCAACTCCTCGATAGAAAAACTTCTTGAAGGGTCTACGTTTCTTGACGGTTTCTTCAGCCTACGTGCGTTAGAAATATAACAATCCGCAACTCACCATAACGGAACTCAGGTCGTGTCTTTCTAACTTTGCCGCCTAAGACAGAAAAGTAAGTTAAAGATCTCAAGGCTATGTGATAGTGAAAATCTAGTGCTAAGTGATACAATCTCTCACATTTTGAACACAGGCTAGCATGAAGCTTCTAATCAATGAACTAAAATATCGGGTAATTGAACACTTCGTGATTACTTCCCGAGCTTAAATAGTTTTCTGATATCAGATAATGAGGACAACTTAAATACTTTACAACAATAATCCTAGTTTGAGTTCGGTATATTTCGAGAAATAGTCAGTTTGTTCTACTTGAACGAGGCTACTGTTAAAGGCTGTCGTTGCTTCACTATAAGTCTGTTTGTTCGGTTATAAAATGAAGGGACAGTGGATATTAGGAATAGTACACACAGAAGATAAAATAATGTTTCAGTTTCAGTTTGGATAGGACAGGAGGCTTGGTGGCCTGTGCTAGTCCTGGCAGTTGTGTTCTCAGTTGATCCAACTTTCTTTTGAAAGAATCTACGGATGGAGCTTCAACCATGTGTTGAGGTAATGAATTCCACTCGTTGACAATTCGGTGGGAAAGTCGATAATCAGCTGACACGTAATTTGTTCTGGGCTTATGAACATTTTCGGAGTGTCCTCGTAAATTCTCTGTTTTGGAAGATAGGAAAAATGAGGGCATATCAGGTTCAAATTTATCACTAAGCAATTTGAAAACTGTAATCAAGTCGTCTCTAGTTTAGTTTGGCCAGTCGAGCATCATACGGAAGCTTCGCTATTCCGGGAATCAGCTTGGTTGCTGTTCTCTGGACCTTTTCCAAAGGCTCACTGGTCTTAACAATTCGATTTATCCGTATATTCAGTGCTGTGGTTGTAGAAGTTTAAATAAATCTTCAAAACAAATAGTTCTCCAAGTCTTCGACATTGATGCTAACTTCATTGATTTTACCAAAACCAAACCAGCTCAAGGCGCTCGGTCACGAATCCTCAACAGATCACTGCAAGATATGACGCGCTGCGCACCTATTCCAGCAGCTACATACCCTCAATCACACTCTCTTCAACACACTAGTGGATACTACTTTTTCCTCTCTCTCTCTCATATGCATTGTTACTGTCAAGTCGAAGTGTAAAGTTTGCATATTTGTATTGTGAATGTAATAATGGTATCGTATTTTTCGTATGAAAGATGAAAAGAGTACAAAGTGTAATTTTGGTCATACAGATCAATATCACACAAGAGTCTTTTAACATTCACATATGCCCACACGCCTCAATACTCTTACATAATGAAGGTGAGTAGTATTGTGGCAGTTTAGGTCAACAAGGTCACATTATTTGTAACGTAGTTACATAAAGATCCGACAGCGTTTCGTAGGGGAGAGCGAATCAAATATACATGGAACAAAGGAGCAAAAAAGAAAGGGTTACATGGATTTCTTTTAAATGAAGCTGAAAACTTCAAACGGAGCTGGAAAACTACTACATGACCGACCAAAATCCCAAAGAGTACGAGAAGAAACAACAATCTTTCGGATAGACACTCCACGGGAAACATATTCTTACGTATCCCATTAAAAAGAAGAGAAGGTGGCATGACTGGACTAAGAGGCGAAATTACATCCTTTTTCGCATAGTGATTTTCCTTCAACATTAATTCAGTTTCAATTTCTGTGTGAAAATTACTCAGAATAGTATTTGTTTTGTTTACCGGTGTTATGTTTTATTAGGTGGAACATTAGTTCATTTAAGTGTGATGCTCGTTCAAGATACGATAATCTCGTATTAAATTAACACGAACTATGCTCAGTATGGTATGTAACATGTGATTTGTTGTAACTCGATGTATTTTCAGTATACGTGATTTCATCCTAATTAATGATCGAAATGAGTGCACAATCAATGTATAAGTGAGCCTACTTACGACTAGGGTCGTTGTGATTTGGGTTCATTAAAGCTCCACTTACACCAGTTTTGTTATCCTTACTAAGGGTTGTGGGAATTGCAGTGATTCCTTGTTTTACAAATATAAGTAATAAGAGAAAATGGCCACAACAACACATAACAATTGGCGACTCTATCATAACACCAATACTGACTTACTATAAGCCTTGGCATCAATATGACCTATCTTTTTCGTTCATTTAGGACTGATCATTTGAGAGGGCGTTCTAAGAACTTTCAAAAACCGGGATCGAATCGTTTACATAGGGAGTTCCGTTTCTCACACCAAGTCATATTCCGTAGGACAGAGAAAAATGTCTAGATTTTCCAGCTGTTCTTAGTATGCCTAACACTAGAGTTATAAGCTCGCACGTATAGAATCCCTCTGTTGTTCTTCCAGGATACCCGAGTCACCTTTTAAACAAGGGCTTAACAGTGAAAGAAACTTCGAATTACACAAAAGGCAAAAAAGTCGCATCACATCCCTTAACTTCATTCAAACTCCTTCTCCAGGCGGGTTTAACTATTTTACTGGATGTTTTTTTGTACTTAAAATTATATATTTTCCAGTTACTTTTGCTACATATTTGTAAGTGCCACTATGCTGAATACAGGAACTTCTTATGGGAAGTTTATAACTCATCATAATCCTGTATTAAGTTTCATAAGCAGTCTTAACTTTAAAATTATTTTTCTGGCAATGTTTACTATTTTTAAAATTGTCATGTACATCAATAACCTGCATGTTAAACTACCCCGTAATGCGTTGCATTATATCTCCATGCCTTTTGAATTCGAAAGTCATTTGAATCGCCTTTAGCATTTCTCACCAAACCCATCATAGTCATTCTTGCTATACGTATTTGGGTTTGTAAATCGGTCTACCATATTAGTAACATAAAAAGACAAACATAGTTTAGATAATAAAGTTGCAAATTTAAGTACTAGCATACTGCCTTAGTATGATAGCTAAACTATCAGGTAGTTGTTGGCCAAATAAATATTTAGAATTAAAAATCCTGAGCCTACTACTAAAATTAACAATGTAAACAAAGGTTTTCAAGTTGCGATTTATAATACAATTAGGTTGCTCGGATTCTTTAACGCGACAAACTTCTGCTATTTCAGAAGCACATCAAACAACAATACCTATTTTCAACTGGCTACTCCTCAATCAACACTATAACTAGTTAAAAATAATGGTTTCAGGATATCGTCATAAAGCATTGTCATGACTTGACAATCACGTAATATGACTGGTAAAATTGGAAACTAACAAAATCAGTCAACAAACTGACTTGTAATTATCATTAAGTAGTGTTGTTTTCTCGGTATCTTCATCCATTTCGGATGATTACAGTATGTTTATCAGTTGCTCATTCAGTAAATATCTCAAAACTTTGTCAGTCTAATTGGAGATTCAGCGACACAATCATGCATGCAAATAATCGATATAAGAAGTCGAGCAAATCTCCTGCAAACTGAAAACATCACTGTCGAATTTACCCCAACACTGACTAAAATTCAAGCCATTATCATAGACATGAGTTTGGAATGTACACCCCTTGGTTACAACTTATGTCCTTCCTGATAAACACATGAGCATCACTCACTGTTAATCATCTTGTAAAAACTTATTTAGACGAATACATCTTACAGCATCACATCACCTAAAAACGTGGCACATAGGCCTGACTGATTTCAATAACTTATAATCACTATATCTCAATGAAATAGCATTCCGTCTTATACTAAACTGGCACTTGCAACTAACTTGTATGTACCATCAGCCGATAGGTATGAATATAAATAAATAGTCTATGGCAAATCAGAACGTTGAGTCTAGAGCATATCTCTAACGGATACACTCATGTTTAACGAATTGCTCTTATCCATCTGTCCAAAATCCACATAATTATTACTTTTCACGTATTTAAAAAATTTTTGATAACAATTCATATGTATTAGTTGTATTATTAAATTCTATCACGGTCAAGTAAAAATGAGGTCGAGAAAATCTCGACAGAACTAAATAAACCGTATCAAACTAACTGAAACACTAGTTGGAATCCTTCTCCACGGTTATACTTTTGTTCTTTCAGTTAGCCTATCAATGCAGATGCAGTTGGAAATCAACGCATGGACAAATTCCTGATATAAACGTTATTTTATTGCATAATTTGAACTAAATATAATACCAGTTTTAGCATTTCTACAACATTGATTGTTTTTAATATTCCTAAACAGGAAACCTACGGCTATTACTAACTATCTTACGGCGACTTATTAAAATATCCCTATACGGAGTCATTTCATTATCATTATAATCCCGCTTTATTTAGCTCAAATAATCTCCGCTCGAATTTTCATTTTAAGCGTGTTAAGTATTAAACCAGACACTTTAAAACTATTACGTGTGTTTTCCGACCAGATGCTGCCGCCTTATTTTGATTCATCTTTCAGTTCATCAATACCCGGATGATTCTTATTATTCTTGCTAACCTCCGGCGCGCGACAATCCCACACAATTTGGTATCGAACCAACGTCACGTTGATTCTGATTGGAGAGTAGTGTAGTGGCATTGGGCCCTACCACGAAACAATATGAGAAATAGACATTAAACATTTAACGCGGAGAAATACAGAAGAATGGAGAAGGCGTGAATAATGAGTTGAATAAAGGAGTTGGTCGGATGGCATGGCTCGGCCTTGCAGGCGTGGTTTCAGCTGGATGTTATCTTGTATCTTTTATTCATATTAAATATATTATATCTCTATCACGTATTGGTAATTGTTACATTGCAATGAGTTGGTGTAGACGATGATGTAACTTCCACGTAAGATCTTATAGATTAGGCAGTTGCATCATGACAAATCTACAACTTATGGATTATGTTTATTGTTAGAGCAGTACTAATAGCATAGTAGACCGCGGTTTTACAAGATTACTTTAATAAAAAAACAATAGTCTTGGCAACTACTTTAAGTGAAATAAATTCAATTAAAGTGAAAACAGCAGTTTTGATGCGTGATAAATGACCAATACGATAAAATTAACT